GAAGCTAAATTTTGCTTTAAATGGAGTTACTCTGTATTTACACCTGGCTTATTAGAACCAGAATCTCAACAGTCATACTTCTGATAGGTGGATAGTTCCGCTACAGGCATAACTTATGTCACATACTATGGGCTTTGAAAGGTTTCTAATGGACCCAGCCATGAAGGAACAACTTTGTTTTTCGCCTTTGTGGATTTTAAGTTATCAGTACAATGCGGAACTTCTCTTCCACACTCATCTCTTATAGAGTAAAACGCTCCGTGTGTGTGTGTGTGTTGTGTGTGTTCCTTCTTCTCCTCCAGAAAGCAACCGCCACAGTAACCTCTCAGGTCGCTGATGGAGCCAAGTTAGGACCAAACGCCCGTTTGGGGGTGAAGGCAGGTAGGGAGCAAAGGAATCATGTTCCAAATCATGAGTCTGCCCAATAGTTGACTCCACATTTCAATCAACGACTTCCCTCTTGCCTTGCCAGGGAACCTCCTTTCCTTTTCGGGACGTGGGCTAGAAACCAGCTCCTGCTTATATCCAAGGACGGATCTGATCCGAAATGGAAATGAAATCCTGCTCGCTCTGTTGAAGTTTTCGCCCCCCCCCCCAGAGCTAGAATTACCGCACAGGGCAAAGAGCGCGGGCAAACAGCAGCTCTCAGACTGGAGCAGCATTGCCGGGATGCAAGCACCTTTCGAACATTCTCAGCCCCCGTGTATCCTGCTCGTTTTAAGCTAGCCTGGGGAGGAGGCGGAGAAGGGGGACACAGAGCTGCTGGACTGGGCGCCCTGTCGGGTTGTGTCCAGTATGGCTGGGCTTGGTGCTGGGGTCCCCGTCCAGCGCTGAGCCTTGCCTTGTGCGCCACACGAGCGCCCTTCGCCCATGCTAAGGAGCCCGCCGGCCTTCCCCTGAGCAGGCTCACAGCGCCCCCCTGCGTCTTCCCCTTTCTGCCGGCACTACTGGGCGCTTTTCAGGCGGGATTCCCCCTTGGTCTGCCCCGCTGTGCGGGTGCTCCGGGGCAGGGGAGCCCGGCGCTGGGGGGCTCTATACAGCTGCCAGGGGCTTGAAGACTTTAGGCGCCGGAGTTTCTTTTTGCATCAACTCCAGTTATGTTGTGGGTGGGGGGTGTCAGACCTGGCTCCCGCAGGGCAAGGCTGGGTGGATCTGTGCCCGGCTTCAGCACGGGGGCGGCCGGCTGCAGAGCATCGCGCGCCCTGGGCCTCACTGGAGTCTCCGCGTTGGGAGGCAGGGGGGGGGGGGGGGGGAGTTTCGCCCCCCGCG